ACACACACACACACAGACAGACAGACACACACACAGACACACACACACACACACACACGATTGACTTTTAGAAATAAAGAATAAGTAGTGCAACGCTAACATGCTATTATTATTATTATTATTATTATTTGCTGTAGTTTGGAAGCAACTGAGGTAACATGCTAAAGGAACAGTGAAAATATTATCCAACCAGTATGGAACACCTGTAAATTTCTTCAAAATACTTGAAAAGATGTATGAACTACTTAGCAGTGGTCCTGGGAACAAGAAAAAAGTACCTTCATCCCAAATCGAGTATCTGGCTTATCAGTTCCATAGGTGGCCAATGCTTCAGCAAAAGTCATAGAAGGAAAAGGAATCACTAGAGGGTCTTTATCATCAGGCCAGGAATACTGCAGCAAACCCTCAACTAAACGCTGAATACCGGTCTGCTCTACAAAGGACATCTCTATGTCAATCTGAAACCAAAACAACATGGAAACGAACATGAACAGTCACAATACATATTTCTTGGCTTTTAGTTGCCATATAAATAACTGCCCAGAAACAATACATGGCAAAAAGTGCAAATACTGTAATACTTTGTTTTTATGTTAATGACTGCTATTGCCTAACATATGCTGGCTAATTTATAACTATCTTGTGGCTGAAGGCTCAGAGAAGGAACTTGCTTGCATACTGCAATCACTAGAGTTTCCATGAGCACCAGGCATGTACATGAAGGCAAAATATTCACACACACCAAATAAAATCTTGCGGGGCACGGTGGGGCACCCTGTAATGTTAGTACTCAGGAGACAGAGGCAGGCAGATCTCAATGAGTGTGAAGCCAGCCTGGTCTACTTAGGGAGTTTAAGGCCAGCCAAGGCTACATAGAGAGACCCACACCTTGACTCAACTGCCCTACCCTTGCAAAAGAAAAAAAATCTTAAAAAATAAAATAAAAGCTGGGTGGTGGTGGCACACGCCTTTAATCCCAGCACTTGGGAGGCAGAGACAGGTGGATTTCTGAGTGTTAGGCCAGCCTGGTCTACCAAGTGAGTTCCAGGACAGCCCGGGTTATACAGAGAAACCCTGTCTCGAAAAACCAAAATAAATAAATAAATAAATAAATAAATAAATAAATAAATAAAAATAAAATGAACACAAATGATAGTAAGTGCTTAGCAGAGACTGGAGAAACAAGAAACCCTTCTTCACTGCTGGTGAGATTCTAAACTGGTGTGATGATTATGGAAGTCAGTACTGAGATTTTTCTTTTTTCTTTCTTTTTTTATTTTATTGGATATTTTCTTTATTTACATTTCAGATGTTATCCCCTTTCCCGGTCCCCACCCCACCCGTATTCCATTCCCCCTTCTCCTGCTTCTATGAGGGTGTTCCCCCACCCACCCACCCACTCCCACCTCCCTGCCCTCAAATTCCCCTACACTGGGGCATCGAGCCTTCACAGGACTAAGGACCTCTTCTCCCATTGATGACCAACAAGGCCATCCTTTCCTACATATGTGGCTGGAGCCATGAGTCCCTCCATGTGTACTCCTTGATTGGTGGTTTAGTCCCTGGGAGCTCTGGAGTGTGTGTGTGTGGGGTCTGATTGGTTGATATTGTTGTTCTTCCTATGGGGTTACAAACCCCTTCATCTCCTTCTCTAACTCCTCCATTGGGGACCCCGTGCTCAGTCCAATGGTTGACTGCGAGCATCCACTTCTGTATTTGTCAGGCTCTGGCAGAGCCTCTCAGGAGACAGGTATAACAGGCTCCTGTCAGCAAGCACTTCTTGGCATCCGCACCGGTGTCTGGGTTTGGTGACTGTATACGGGATGGATCCCCAGGTGGGGCAGCCTTTCCTTCAGTCTCTGTTTCACACTTTGTCTATGTATTTGATCCTGTGAGTATTTTGTTCTCCTTTCTAAGAGGGACCGAAGCACCTACACTTTTAAAAAAATTAAAAATAACTACTATATGATCTGGCTTTGCCACCTTTGGGTGACTACTCCAACACTCAAGTCTTAGCACAGAGACCCTCACACACCTGTGTTTATTGCTGTGCTATTCACAGCAGCTAAGGGACAGAGACAGCCTAGAGAGTAAATCCATGAATGGATAAAGAAAATGTGTTATACATACACAATGCAATTTTATTGAGCCATAAGGAGAAATAAGATCATGATGTTTGTAGGAAAATGGAACTGGAAATTATGTTCAGTGAAGTATCCCAGGTGCTGAGAGACAAGTACTCTATGCTTTCTCTCATACAGTAGATTCTAGTTTTTAAATTTTTTTTTTTTCGAGACAGGGTTTCTCTGTAGACAAGGCTAGCCTCAAACTCAGAAATCCGCCTGTCTCTGCCGCCCAAGTGCTAGTATTAAAGGCGTGCGCCACCACCGCCCGGCTCGATTTTAATTTTTATATGTGCATATATACACATGTTTAGTATAAGTCAGGGAACTGTAAGAGGGGAAAGAAGAGACTTTAAGGGAAAGGAATAAAAAGCAGAATAGGATGCATGTGATATAAAAGTGGAAGGAGGCCAGTGGGAGGAAGCAGACCCGTGAGGAGGCAGGGGGATGGAAAGGAGTGAGGGCAGCGGCTGAACAAAAATGAAGTGTGTCTGAAAATGAGACTGGAAGACCCATTGCCTTTTACGTTCATTTCTAAAAACTTGTAAAGTTACTGTCCCGGTATTGAAACATCCTGGGTTATAGCAACATGGATTTGTAAGAGCCTAATAATATAATACCCAGGTACCTGGGTAAACTCTGGCTGTCTATCCGGTCTTGAGCCTTCATCTCGATAACACCGGGCGACCTGAAAATACCTATAAGAGAAAGCTAGAGTTAACATAATCTTCATTTTAAATGATCCAAACCATTTTCCCCAAAGTGTTGGCAGTACAGGCTATGAAACACACTATTGCTGGGCGGTGGTGGCGCACGCCTTTAATCCCAGCTCTTGGGAGGCAGAGGCAGGTGGATTTCTGAGTTCGAGGCCAGCCTGGTCTACAGAGTGAGTTCCAGGACAGCCGGGGCTACACAGAGAAACCCTGTCTCGAAAAACCAAAAAAAAAAAAAAAAAAAAAAAAAGAAACACACTATTAATGATCCTTAAGAGAAACTTTACTTTTTCATTTTATTTGTGGTGCTAAGGCTCAAACCCAGGCCTTTGTGCATGCTAGTCAAGGACTGTACTATAAAGCTGTTTCCCAGACTCAGAAACTTTATTATGCTCAAATCTAGTCAAAATATAGATAACACATGGGAAGCTAGTATTTTATAGATGGCTTTCCAAATATAGCACCTTTGGATATTTATACGTTAGACGGACATACAAAGCAGTCCCTGTGTCTTTAGAGTGCACTTTTACAAGCTGAAATTCTGCTGTAGGAATGCTTTGCGCCTCCCTGTGTCATGCCAGCTCTCACCTTCACCTTTAGAAATGAAGCTCTCTCTGCCTCTGCAAGTCTAGCATACAACACTCTCTTCTTTTTAAAATTAATTTTAAAAACTAATGAAATTGGGGCTGGAGAGATGGCTCAGCAGTTAAGGGCATTGACCACTCTTCCAGATGTTCTGAGTTCAATTCCCAACAATCACATGGTGGCTCACAACCATCTGTAATGGGATCTGATGTCCTCTTCTGGTGTGTCTGAAGATAGCTACAGTGTGTTCATATAAATAAAATAAATAATTCTTTAAAAATTTAATAACATTATATGTGTTGAGGTAACTGCATGCCTACAGAAGTCTACAGAGGCCAGAAGTTTACATTCAGAGTCTGATTACCCTGGAAATGGAGTTATAGATGGTTGTGATCTGACTTGGGCCCTGGGAATAGAACTCAGGTCCCCTGCAGGAGCAATACATGCTCTTAAGTCCCAAGACATTTCTCTGGCCTGATTACTATATTTTCCCAAACAATACCATTTCAAACAATTAATATTTTATAACTTTTGTATTTTCAATGTTGATTTTGGTTAGTTTCATTATATTTTCAATGTTGATTTTGGTTAGTTTCATAGTTGTTTTTTATTTATTATCCCATTTTTTTTTTACTAAACTTATTCACTTGAGATCAGAATCTTATTTTTAATGCCCTGCCAGAACTACTAGCTTTGTGTCTAACGCCACCTAATAAATCTTAAATAAACAATGACGACTATAATTTCTAGGGGATGAACAGTATCAAAAGTTTTACTGTTATGGAGTGAGGGGTGGGGTGTGCAGGTGTGAGGGTACATGTGTGGAGGTCAGGACGATGTGGCGGAGTCAGTTTCCTCTTTCTACCTATATGTGGGTTCCAGGGATTGAACCCACATCCCTAGCCTTGTGTGGCAAGGGCATTTACCCACTGAGCCAACTCACCAGTCTGGGGTCAGACAAATTTGTTCCTTCCCTCCCCCTTGGTCTTTCTCCCTCCTTTTTTTAGGAGTAATAGCATTACCAAAAATCAAAAAAGCCTGTTTACCTGTCTAAACCACCAACCATCAGAAGCTGCTTAAATTGCTGAGGACTTTGAGGGAGAGAATAAAACTTTCCAGGTTCCCTGGATGGTACTAAAAACTCCTTGGCACCCTTTTAAAGAAAGAGAGGTGACAGAGGGAGAGAAAAAGAGACATTATTGAAAAATAAGAAAACAAAAAAAACCCAAGTGTGACGAGCACAAGTTAACACTTAAGCACCCCGAGGAACTTATAAAGTTCTCAATGACAGACAGCTCTTGTTCATCTTATAGTCCCTAAAACAATTTGCACACAATAACATTTATTTAGAGCTGGAGTCTCATATGAAGCTCTGGTTGAACAGAAACTCAAGGAGATCCACCTGCCCGTCTCTTGAGTACTGGAATTTAGACATGGGCCATGCTCAGCAATAACCTTTACATTTTTTAACGTGTGTGTGTGTGTGTGTGCGGGGGTATGGGGTTGGAGTAGGGGGTTGGTGAACACACTTTTGAGAAGAGGCCATTCAGAACCTCTGAAGCTGGAGGCTGTTGAGAGCTACTTGACTTGGGTGGTGAAAACTGAGTAAGGCTCTCTGAAAGTTAACAGCTGAGCTATCTCTGTAGCTCCTAAAAACGTCTTAAACATTGCTTGTATGTAACAGTTATTAAGTGTCTGTGTGTAAACAAAGTCTCAACTTTATTATTAGCACAACAAAGTTTGTACACCATTTGCTATACAGGTCATTCTTAACTGCTTTTCTACATTACACTGTAGGGATTTTTGTTTGTCTTTTGAGGCCCTCCGAGCCACTGTGCCACTGACCTATATATGTAGTCCTTAAACTGTGGGTTTTTTTTTTTTAAGTCTACAGATTGAATAAAGAGTCACTAAATATCAGGGCTTTTTTTTTTTTAAATCTCAGCTCTCTTTTTAATGGGATCTTATGTAGACACAGCTAGTCTGAGAGTTGTGATCCTCCTGCCTTAGTTTCCCAAATACTGGTCTTATAGGCTTTGCATCACCTCGCCTGTTTTTTTTTTTTCTTATTAATATAGCATTTGTTTTCCTTGAATCAACCTCCAAGCCAACCATTTTTTGCTGATTTCCTGAAAAAAAAATACAGGAAAAAGAATATATAGACTATATAGGGAAGAACCACAGTAGAGGCAGATCCTTCCATGATGGAGAGAACGAGATGGATCCATCCTTAGGCAAAAGGCCCTTTGGTGTCACAGGGACAAAAAGCCAACTGGCCCAGCAGATGAGCTGTTGCTCTAGAGTGGCTCCTGTCCTATGCAATAAGGTTCCCATAGTGACATTCCCACCCCTTGAGCCAGCCCCCAACCATGGCAGTCCCAGCCTCAATGAACATAGCTGCAGCGACAATAGTCCTGGAACAGGTACTGGCTACAGGGCTGTGGCTAGGGACAAATGAGGTGAGGGGTATGGAGCCACCATAAGCTAAAGTGTTCTTGGTCAGTGTCCATGGTCATTCTAGCACCTTTGCAGGTAGTGGTCAGCTTGAAAGCTCAGAGAGAGGGTGGAAGTGAACTTGGGATAGGTTTAGGTTTTTAGAATGGAAGGGATTATGGCAGGACAGGTGTTCTTGGCCCACACAGAAAAGAGATGCCTAATCTGCCTCTTCAAAATTTTTATATTTTTTTAGTTGACACAATTTTTTTTTTTGTTTTGTTTTGTTTTTTTTTTAAAGATTTTATTTTCATCTTTTTGGTTGTGAGCCTTAGCTTTTAATCACTGAGTTATCTCTCTAGCCAAGGATTTTATTTTAATTATGTGTATATGTTTCTGTCAGTATGTGGATATGTGTGTACGAATGAAGTGTTTATAGGCCAGAAAAGGTGTTTCATCCCCTTGTGGTCAAGTTTTAATACACGCTTTTAACTGCTGAGTCATCCCTTCAGTCCAGTTCAGACAGTTCTTAATGAACAAGATTTTAATAAAACATTCATTAATGATTTGCATCTAGAAAACTCATGGGAAAGAAAACTCATGCAGAATAAAAACATTCTGATTCAAAATGCTGGCTTACATAATCTTCTCAGTTCTTAAAATAAGACTCTGAGGTAGTAATAAAAGTAAAATGGGCCAAGTGAATATAAAAGCAAAGCGATTGCTTTTATAATGAAGAGGATATCAATAGTAAAATGATAAGCAATATACATACTCCGGGGGTCCTCTTAAACAATGTTGGGGTTTCTATATCCACAAACCCTAAAAAAAGAGAAAAACTAGTTAGTTATTAGGAATTTGCCAAGTATGATGTCAATAGTGAAATGAAGAGGCCCCCTTAATTAGGAAGACGTCTGAGATAAGAAAGACAGACACAAGTCGCTTTCTACAAACCCAAGAAAGCTAAGACTTTTACAAGATGTTACTGTGTTCCCAAGGCTGACCTTCATGACAGGAAATGATCTGGACTATCTGATGGATTCCTGTCTACTGCAAGGCTCCGGTGTGAGAAACCTTCTGCCGACATAGCAAGGATGAGATGAGGGCAAGCACCAAGGAGTCTGTTTGACTCTCGGGAAATCTCAGCCCTCCCATCAACTGCTGTATAAGAATGATAAAGAATTATGCAAATTTGGCTGGGTATCGTAGTCTACACCTGTAACCCCAGAATTCAAGAGTGCAGGAGCGAGTGCTGGGGAGGGAAACTTACTACATAGAAACAACTTAAGACTGTCCTCAGTAGTGGTGAGAAATGCTAAGTACTGTAATAGATATTATTACCTTTAAAAGAATATGCCTGTGACCCAGTAAGCGACCAGTCATCACAGTGACTGATTACAGATTTTGGGAACAGGTGACCCAACAATGAAGGGAGTATACAATAAAACACATTGAACACGCAGGCTTCCCTTACCGTGCAGATTACAGAGATATTCCCGCATTTTCATGACCATCTGTGACCTCAGCCGCAGGTTGTACTGCATTTGGAAGCTGCGCAGATCTAAGTACCGATACTGCAAACGAAGGGCCTCTGTTTTCTACACAAATGAAGATTTTTATGCTTAAATATTTTTGAACATTAAAAAGGTAGTTATCTTTAACTTTTCTTAAGTTACATTTATTTATCGGTGGTGGTGGGGTATGTGTAAGTGTGTGTCTGTGCACTTGAGTGTAGATGCTCTTGGGCCCCTGGAGCTAGAGACATCCTCAGGAGCTGGAGTTACAGGCAATTGTGAGCCGCCTGGGAAACAAATTCAGGTCCTTTGTAAGCGCTGTGCACGTTCTTACCACTGAGTCATCTCTCCAGTTAAGCTTGGTGTACTTATCAAGGCTGTAAATCCTTGCATTCATTTTTGTGCTGACAACTTAAGAAAAAAGTCCTTTAATGTGGGTAGCTCAATTCTTTTATACCAGAAATAGTCTATAACTCCTTTTTCTGAACCTTTACCTTAGGAAATTTATTTTCTTTTCCATAAAAACGTCAACTTTGAAATATATTGATTTTTGCAATCAGTGAACTTAAATATAGGCCTTAGTGGTCATGTAATTAAAAATCTAATACAGCAGGGGAATCACTCAGTTGGTGTTTGGTTCCACTTCTGTTGCTTTAGTAAAATATGCTGACAAAAGCAATTTAAGGGAAAAAGGGTGAATTTGGCTCCCAATTCTAGGTTACAGCCCATCACTGCAGGAAAGTCAAGGCAGCAGGAACACCCACAGTCAAGAGCCGAGAGCAAGGATTTAATGCTGCACTCCAGAGCTTAGCTTCCTCCTCACTCAGCCCAGAGCCCAGGCCATGAGATGTCGACACCTACATTCACCATTTGTTTTCTCATAGCCATTAATCAATTAAGAAAACTGCCCTCACCAGGTGGTGGTGGTGCACACCTTTAGTTTCAGCACTTGGGAGGCAGAGGCAGGTGAATCTCTGTGAGTTCGAGCCCATTCTGGTGTACAGACTGAGTTCCAGGACAGCCAGGGCTACACAGAGAGACCCTGTCTGGAAATCAAACCAAACCAAACCAAACCAAACCAAACCAAACCAAACCAAACCA